ATTCCGTACTTTATTCCGTACTCGTCCCATCCACTCTTCACGGCTATGCAATCGTCTCCCGACACAATGTAACAATCCTCAATCCTCGTGTTCGTACAAGAATCTACAAAGAAAAACATAATAAAAATAAATAAATCCACGAACCTAGCCGAAATTTAGCTAACCATCGGTCAAACCGGATGCTGGGTACAGAACCGGTTCTTACCAGGGTTTATACCGTCGGTATTGGGGACCGTAACCGGTGCCAGTATCGTCAGACCTTGGATGAGAATGTTGCTGCAAATTTTAAACAACACCCATTAAATAATATACTGATTATAACGGATTTTAGTTCGATCCGGTTCGGTTATATATGGACCGTACCTGCTGTACACGGGGTGAATATGCCAGGAAGGGGAATTCAAGAAAGTGAGATTAGAGATTTGGATTCCATCTGAATGCATAATCTCAATAAGGTAAGGTCTCGTGTATTCCAACTCTCCTCTCTTGAACTTCCCCCACCATGGCTCCCCTTGCCCATCCACTGTCCCATTCTCACCTTTTTTTTTCACAAGAAAACATATGTTACGTTACGATTATTGTCGGTCCATGAATTTACATATGCTATGGTGGTGGATAAGTGAATTTACCCGTTATGATTGCATCCGTTAGATTGGTGCCAAAGATGAGACTGATGTATCTCCCTCCCTCTGTGTCTCTTCCACGTCCATAGGATGGTAGCGGCTCTATCACTTCGTAGTCACTCTCGTTCTGTCAAAATACACCAAAATTAATAACTCTAACCGGAAACTTTACCCTAATTACGGTTTTTTTTTATATTTAAAAAAGTTGTGATTTCGTTATAAAATCGTTAGAAAATTGTAACTTGCATACATTCATAATTTCATACACGACTCACGAGAGTTTATCCATATGGTGTAATGGGGGGGTGGGGTCAATATGTGGGCCCATGGTATGATATTGGGGCTTAGATTAGGCCCAATAAAGTTGTATGCCTATGGATACAACGGACGGCTGAGATTTCACAATAAATGTGGTCCCCACAAGCCAACACCAGTGCGTACCCACACTAAACCCTTTTCTATTTCATCGGCTTGTGGTTGACCAAACGTTTAATTAATTAAATTATTGATTTGTAAAAATAATTTCGCAATTATTTATGGAAATAAATAGTAAAATAAAAAAGATTGAGATAATGACGTGATTTTCCAATCATGTATACAGAATACTCATCGACTGTTTTAAATTGATTTTTTCATATAAAAAAAAGATTCCTGCATTGTTAATATGATTTTCTTTTCTACATTTTTTTTGCCCAACCATGTGAAGCGAATGACCCAACCACAGATAATAAAAAACAATTTACAAACAAGATCACGGGTATATATAAACATATACACATATACATGTAAATTATATGTATCTATCTTCATGCTCATATATTATCATTTTTCTTTCGCTGCGTTGAAAATTGCTAAACTAAATCGGGAAAATAACATCGAAAGTCGTTAAAGACATTCGTCGTTTTAGTTTCAAAGGAAATTAAAATTAGATAGTAAAACAGTCCACAAAATAAAATAAATAAATAAATAAAACCTTTTATGGAAAAAAAAAAGACTTACTTGGGAAGCGAGGATGACGGCGTCACGGTGGAGGAAGAGGGTGAAGTGGCTGGTGAGGTTAAAACTTCCGGTGAGCCACCGGCCTGCGGGAACAAACAGCAAACCTCCGCCGTCGTCTGAGTACCGGCTGAGTTGCGCCACCGCGTCGCGGAACGCCGCCGTGTTCGACGTCACTCCATCGCCGACGCCACCGAACTCGTCAAGAGATGCCGAGTACGCCCTGCACGACACGGCGGAGTACTCCAAATCCTCCAAGGCGGATTAGCCACGGCGTTGGCGGTGACGGCGGCCATGGAAATGGAAGTCGTCGCCGGATCTCCGGTGGTGTTTCGCTTCGGCTCCGGTAAGGACGTCTCCGGAGATAACGGCGAGGAGGAGGAGGAGGAGAGCGACGGCGGAGAGAGGGTTTGGCATGGTGGTTATGGGTACAAGGGGAGATGAAGACGAAAACATGTGTGTGTGGAATGAGGTGGTTACCTATAAAAGGGGAATGGCAACAGAAATTATACGCATATATAATCCATAGAATTATTTTATTTGTAAAGTATTTAGACGAAATTGTACGGTATATGTCTGACTATAATTTCGGTTCTTGTGTTATTTGCCACCATGTGTGTGGGTAATATTTTATGCAAGTTTAAATAATCCTAGATCTAGAAATGCAAACAAAAAGAATTGTAAACACGAAATTTTAAATATATATATATATTGTAATTTTTATTTTTATTTTTATTTAATTTTTATCTCATATATCACAATCGAGTTCATATTTATTATAGGAATTCTAAAATTTCAGTATTAATATCACAGTTTTTTTGGGATTTTTTTACGTGTTATATATTTTAATTAGCAATATAAGTTATTAAGTATGTTAAATGGAATCATTCATTTATATCGTCTTAAATAACTCGGTCAAATAATGTGATTCCTTGCCCCGTTCCTGGCTTTGAATCGTAAAAGGTTCTAGTTTGTAATTCTAATTCTAATTCCACGATAGTTATTTTTGCATATTGTAAATACTTTAATCATTTTGTAATTGTAATTCGTGAATAGAAAAAATATCCAATTGAGGGCTTATTATATTTTTTTATATATAGAAAATAATCATTCGATATATTAATTACGATATTTGATTTATTGACGTCAAGTTCATACGCCTAACTTCGCAGCGTACGCGAGGACATGAAGATATGGGGAAATTATTTATACAACGTTCGTTCCTTCTTTTACTATCATATTATTGACTGATATTTCATGAGTCTTTAGAATTGGGTTTTATTAGGCTTTAATTTATTTTTTATTCCATCTTTCTGTTGTGATTGTGTATTTGATTTTTAAGTTAGTGGTGGTAGTGGGATATTAATTTCGATTTTAATATTGTGTGTATATATAGTTGTATTTTGCCTTTAAATCTTTTTATTTTACAGATATTTAATATATTTTGGTATTTTTTTTCTAAATTGATTTTACTACTTTAGTCTTACCATTATCTACTTTCTTCAATTTTATCTAATGTAACCATTTTAATTTGCACACCCTACAGACCTTCTATGATGTTAGATAAATAGCACGTTAATTAATATGGAACTTCCAAAGTTTAATTGCATTTGGATTTAAAAATAACGATAATAGGAATCTATATTGTATAGTAAAAATAAAAAGATGTGAATAGAAAACCTATTTTTAAAATAGATTTCCAAATCGTGCAGGTCTTTTGACCTAACCCCGCTAATCCACATATCCCGTTTCGTGAAGAAATCCATGTGCTTGCCCATATCACATATCTATAAACAAACATACCGCCACACATACATTATATATATATATATATATATATATATATATATGATCCATGGCATGAAATCTATAAATAATTTAAGCAGTAGATAAAATTAAGGACCCATATATTAGTTTTTATTTATATGGCGTGTATAATATGTATGATATAAAATCATAGTTTTGCTCTTTTTTTTCGTATTAAAATTGAAAGTATTTGATACATATAGATGTTAATCAAACGAAATCCGATCAAATCTATTCATAGCAAACCAAATAAAACGCATCACATGCACAGATTGGAATCAAGATAGATACATATGTTTCCAAACTTTATAAAAGTACAAACACGTAACTTCTACATACATATACATATATGACCAAGAAAAATATAATTCGAAGTAAGCGAATTAGCCTATTTTTACCATCCAAAAATCTTATATAACATTCATTGGTTGGTACCATATCTTAATATATATATATATATATATATATGCATACACCCGTGGTTTGTAAAAGGATACATGCCATCAATGTGTTTTTAAAAAAGAATACTAATTAAAACTAAATGATGAATATAAATACAGAAGTAATTACCCATAATTAAGATGAATTGGACGTTTCGATGGATATATATATATGGGCGAATGGAAATGGGAATGGGGCCGTGGAAAAAAAAAAGGCAAGTAATAATACTAAGAAATTAAGAATGATGTGAGGTTTTTCATGTCCGCTTGTGCGCCACGGCTTCTCTGTGCCCTAACCCGTGAGTGTGTATATATATATGTACCTCCGCTTTATCTTTATTATATTTATCATGCTCTTACCTTCTTATTATTATTATTATTATTATTATTATTATTATTATTATTCCTTCACGGGCTACACACACACACATATATATATATATATTCTTTGAGAAAAAAAAAGCTTTTATACCTCGTACTATATATATATACATATTCGCACTGAAGAGTAACTTGAAAGATACCAAAAATAATAATCCATTTTACATGATTGACAAAATTTTGGTCTTTGACAAAAAAAAAAGCTAATTGTTAACAGGTAACAAAATTAGTATATAGATGTTAAAAAGGAAGTGGGTGGATGTATTTTGCGTGTATATATAATGATAAAAAAATAATTGGAAAAACAAACAAAAAAACATTTCGCAGGTCACGAGAGGGAATTGAAGATACCGACCAACGCAATTTGATGGTGGTGGAGTACACGGGAGAGAGAGAGAGAACATGTTTCTTTGTTTTTGTTTTTATTAGGAGATCATGTTTTTTTTTTGCAATATTTATTATTTGAATTTCCCCTATAAATTAAGAAAATGTAATTTTACTTAATACAATGTATATTTCTTTCTCTCTCTCCGTCCATTTAATTTTATAGTTTCGGCAATGCAACGCAAAAGTCTATACTTTTAGTAAAAGGTCGTTAAACCAACAAATTAAATAAAAGAAATGTAATGACCTACCGAACATCAAGAGAGGAAAAAAAATCATGGAAATAAATAACTGCTCCGATCCAATGCAATTTAATATTTCCATTAACAACCTTTGACATTAAACATAACAACAACTTTAGTTCTTTTTTCATTATTAAATTAAATTCAAAACTATAGAATGCAATATATGTAAATTAAGCCAACGGTTCGCATAAAGTCGACCCTTATCCTAACCATTTCTGGGCTTGTGATTTAAGATTTTTCTTTTCTTTTTATAAAACATATTGGTCTAGCCCCCCCCCCCCCAAAAACA